TCTTGAATGTAGATGTTGGCAGTGCCTTTGTAAATAAATCTGCCACATTGTCATTTGAATGAATTTGTTGAACATCGATGTCGCTATTCTTCTAAAACTTATGTGTATGAAAGAATTTTGGATAAATATGATTCGTCCTGTCACCTTTGATATAATCACATTTGAGTTGTGCAATACAAACAGCATTGTTTTCATACAAAATTGTTGGATTATCTTTTGTTGAAATTACCCCGCATGATGCTTGGATATGATGTGTCATGTTCTTCAACGATACACCTTCTCGGCTTGCTTCATGAATTACAATAATTTCAGAATGATTTTAGGATGTTGTTGTCAAGTATTGCTTTACGGATCTCCATTATTTATGTGTTCCTCTACGTGTAAACATGTATCATATTTGTGATTTAGTTTTATGTGGGTTAGAGAGATAACCTGCATTTGCATATCCCACTAAAGCATATCTCGACTTTTGAGAGTAAAATAATGTCAAATCAATAGTACCCTTTAGGTAACGAAAAATATGTTTAACTTCATTCAAATGTCTTTGTGTTGGTGTAAACCTATGTCTTGTAAGGAGATTTACAGAAAAAGTTATGTCGGGTCGAGTACAGTTTCAAGATAGGTTAATGCTCCAACTGTACAAACATATGTTAATTCAGGACCAAGAACATTTTTTCCATCTTCAAGTAGATGAAAATGATCATTTTTCACATTAAGTGATCGAACAACCATAGGTGATGCTAATGGATATGCATTATTCATTTAAAGGCATTTTAAGACTTTTTCTGTATAATTGATCAACAAATAATCCTTATGAAAAATGTTCAATCTGCAACCCGAAACAGAATTTGATTTTTCCCAAATCTTTCATCTCAAATTCATTTTTCAAATAATTTGTAATTTTGTTGAGTTCTTTAGAAGTTTCAATTAAATTTAAGTCATCAATATACTTCATTTTCAAGTGGATGAAAATAAGCATTTTTCACATCAAGTGATCGAACAACTATAGGTGATGCCAGTTGATGAACATTATTCATATAAAAGCATTTAAAGACTTTTCTGTATATGTAGATTGATGAACAAATCATCTTTATGGGAAATGTTTAATCTGCAACCCGAAACAGAATTTGATTTTTCCCAAATCTTTTATTTCAAATTCATTTTTCAAATAATTTATAATTTTTTTGAACTCTTCAAAAGTTCCAATTAAATTTAAGTCATCAATATACTCGATTTTCAAGTGAACGAAAATTATCA